TATTAATATACTAACCACTACCTTCAGGAAAGAAATAAAACGACCCTTTGCACTAGAATGTAAGGATTTGCTTCTTATGTTGTATTTCATATTAGTTTAATGATAAGTTCAGTAAGTAATAAACTATCTGTGATAATGGTGTGTTCTTTTCCCATTACGAATGCATCGGTGGAAATCTAGTATGGCGTATGATTAATTATTGTTAGATTTATAATAGGGGGGTGGGGGGGTGGGCGGAGACAGGATGAGAGAGAGAAAAGAAGAGACATGCACGCTCACACACACACACACACACACACAGACATATATATATATATATATATATATATATATATATATATATATATATATATATATATATATATATGTATTATAATTATACATATATTTATATTATAATTATACACACATATATATATGTATATGTATTAAACGACTTTAGTAAGAAGAAAAAAAAAAATATCTTTAAAGAAAACGTAAATAACAATTTTACCGGTATTTCATTAAAAAAATTTAATGAACATATCTCCCCTTCATCTTTACCATCTATAGCTGTTGTCATTTATCCAGTAATCAAGGTCTAAGTAGCAACTGATTCCTATAATTATATCAATAGATTACGTCATGGATAATCGTAATAATAATTACAACCCCTTTTGATATATTTATGAATTATACATGTACTTTAATGCAACCCTCATCCACTAATGGGTAATACGTGTCCTTCAATGCAGCAGACCTCATCCACTAAAGAATTGTGCGCGTCCTTTGATACAACTGCCCTCATCCACTAATTAAAGGCTATGAATGCCTCCTACAAGGACTAGTTGGACATTGATAGTAGTATTCACGGCTTGACTCTTTATTGTTGAGAGAGAACAACACAAGGAAATGAACACACGATACGATAGTCTAGTATCAAGCGCTCGTTCTGGCAGGTACTTCTCAGGGCGCGAAGCTGCGGGTCTCAGCACCCCCTACTGTTTCCATTGCTTGAATTAGCTATATATGCATCCGCTTATTAACAAGCTATAATTATGCGTGTCCTTAATACAATAGTCCTCATCCACTTATGAATTATGTGTCTCTTAATACAACAGCCTTCATCCACTGTTATATTGCAAAGACTAATAAATTATTGTTCATGCAACTACTTTGTTCAAGGGAGATAGGAATATATCATGTGTCAAGTTTGTTTAGGTTACCTTGGGTTGGGATGAGTTGGCCAAGTTAGAAAGGGGGGGGGGATGGCAAATGCAGTTCTAGGTTAAGTATTAACCAATAAAAGCTTTAGCCATAGTGCTTTAGCAATCACACTGTAATATCAATTATATAATTTGTGCTGTGTTTTATGACATCTAACCAGACTGCGTAACACATTACCGTAAGGGCGTTTAAAGGAGGATGAGGTTAGGTAAAGAAAGGTAAGTCAAAGTAAATGGGTAAGGTAAAGTAAGGCAAAGAAAGATAAAGGGAAGTAAGGTAAAGTAACATGAGGCAAGAAAAAACAGGATGGATAAGCTAAGTTGTGTTAAGACACGTTGCTGTTGGGTTAAGTTGTATTTTTTAAAAGCTAGTTTGATTAGCCTAATGTTAGATGCTCCCGTGTACCTTCATGAGCAGATCGAACAGTTTTAAACGCATATCCTACGCTGTCGATCACAGGGTATCGATATATATATATATATATATATATATATATATATATATATATATATATATATATATATATATATATATATATAATATATATATATATATATATATATATATATATATATAATATATATATATATAATATATATATATATATATATATATATATATATATATATATATATATATATATATATATATTTTTTTTTTTTTTTTTTTTTTTTTTTTTTACCAAGAGGTCTGTAACTCTGAAACCGAATGAGCGCGACATTAGATGTAACAAATGGTGTAAAGACTAGAGTATAAGAACGCCGGAAGTTGTTAGTTACGTCATGAATATATACAAATATCTACCCTCCTCACTTATGCATTTTATGGGGAATGGTGCTAAAGTATAATAAACATCTTTTCTATAAGACAATGACTTTGCTACACATCTTGGTGTTTACGTCTATATCTGCAGTCCTGTGTAAGATGGAGTAATGTATAAGCTTACAGTAGTTTTGGGCGTTTATACCTATTTTTTTTACATGTTAGTGATTACGTGATTAATCTAGGCTTTCCTATGTGAAGCTCTATTCTTCTGTTTCACTTTAAGCAACGCAGTCAGCTCGATATATTGTCAAGAGTACTAAATCATCTGCTCCATTGAATCAGTGCAATAAGTCAAAAGTGCAGACCCAGTAACTCGTGTATATTCTGGATTTGAACAATTTATCATACGGTCTGCGATCAACTTGGATTACAATTTTAAGATCTGAATACACTAGCTGAATCAACTACACTGAAACGATCTTCCAGGAAAGCTTTCAAGTGTAATGTTTGGTGTTTCAGTTCATCTCACTTCCACCAGGTGATGTGTCGTATTAACCTATAGCTGAAATTCGAAGACTGAATGACCTACTGAATGACAAACCACAAGCCTAGCTGCTGTTAAGGGTAATGGAATAGATTTGTTTTACTTTTATATTTTTCCAGGCGTATTTGTCACGTTAATGTTCAAGACACGTATGTGTAATATATGTGTGTGTGTATATATATATATATATATATATATATATATATATATATATATATATATATATATATATATAATATACATATACATGTATGTATATATATGTACATATATATTCATGTATGTATATATATACACACATACATATTTGCATATATATATCTATATATGTGTGTGTGTATGTATACACACACAAACACACACACACACACACGCACACATATGTATATATGTATGTGTGTGTGTGAGTATGTATGCATTCATGTTTGTATGTATATATGTATGTATCTATAAAACTTCAGCAATAACTGAGTTTGAAATTCCGGAAATTCTTAAAAGATGCCGTAACCGCCTGACTAAAGATAGAAAACATTTACACACTTTGACTTATACGCTGATTTTCATGCCAGCGTTACTTTTCGTGGAGATTGCTTGCATTTCCGTTCTATTGATAAGGAAAATGGCTAATTGTTTTTAGGTGCATGTATTGATATCCATTGGGTATTATCAGGGACATGAGATCTTATCACATATGATAGTCTTGTCAGTAACACACAGACTGGCATTCGAGTAGTGTCGGATATTTGTTCGAAAAGCGAAAACGAGAAGTAAGTAGAAGAAAAGAAGCGGAACTACAACAAGAAGAGGAGAAAGAAGAAAAGGAGGAAGAAAAGAGAAAGAAGAAAAGGAGGAAGAAAAGAGAAAGAAGAAAAGGAGGAAGAAAATAGAATGAATGACAGGAGGAGGGAGAAGAAACTAGTCGACTTTCGGTAGGAAGGTATTGCCGCATTTACGTGTTTTCACACATTTTGAAAAGGTACTGGATATCTGGATTATCTCAATAGCTAATTTGAAAGTTACATGATCAGTAGCCTTCCATTAAAGTACTAGAGTCTGGAGAATTTTGGAATACTATTGCCCTAAAATCATATTAAATTGATCATAATTTTTCTTAACCATGATGCTGGCGTATTGTTATTATTGTCAATTATCAAAACTTTTCCACTGATGCGATTGCCATAATCAATGTTATTATGATTCACATTTCATTATTGTCTTTATCACTACAGTGGTCAACAAAAAATATTCTTGAGAAAAATAAGATCTGTTTCTTGTGTATTTTGTGCATACAGAAACACAAATAATGTAATATATTTCTGTATCAGCCACATTTTTTTCTGTATCACGATACATTTCCTGTTACGTGCATGGGCTACGCTCCAGTTAAGCTGTTAAAAATTGAAGCTAACGGTTTAAGAAACACTCCTAATTATTTTTTTATGAAGAGAATTAACATTTTCAAATCATAAATCTAACTGAGTGAAAACAGGGATGCATAAACACAATTAACCACAGCGTGGCAAAACCGAGTCACCGCAGAGTAGTGACTGACAGTGTGTTGCAACAAGTTAGTACAACTTGAAAACACTGTGTGTGACTAGTGTACATCAATATTGTGCTTGAAGTTCAGGCGGCACGTTAGCAATCCTTGTCACCTGAGGATGGAGTCCAGGTGGATTCCGAAACTGTCGTCTCATTTTCAGTAAATCTAGTTTTTACTTTGTGGGTTTTTCTACCATAGTATCAACACGGTAGAGTGTTTTTTCATTTATTATTATTATTACTACTATTATTATTATTATTACTATTATTGCCATTATTACTCTCATCATTATTATTGGTGTTATCATCATCATTATTTAAAATATAATGATAATTATTATTGTTATAATTATGATAACAATGTGATAATGATAATAATTATGATCGATGATAATTATAATGGTAATGATCATAATAAGTAATGGGCCTTTTTTGTAGTATTTGCGAACCCCCCTAACACTTTAACAAACTTTGATACACGTTTGCTGTCTTATACGTGCACATTATTGGTACTACTTGATTTTTTTCGGCTTCTATCAATTTGTGTACCTTTACTTTGATACCATGTGGTACACTCCAGCCAGCCAATCATAACGCAATATATTTAGATTTATTTTACGAATCACAGATAAGGATTTATATTTCCATTAATTACGAATTGCATCGTTAGTTTCGTGATAAAAAGATCTGTTATAAAATGGTATAAAACGTTTAAATGTAATTCAAAAAACATATTAAGTTTTTGTGATTTTTTTTAGGACTTTGTATATCAGTACAAACTTCGGTATCGTGTTTTGTAGCGACCATGATACAACATGAAAGAATGTATCAATGTCTTAGGGTTTAAGCGATTCTACAAAAAAAGGTATTTAATAAACATTTATAATTACTAGGGAATCCAAGTAAATCCCCTCTCCGCCCAGTCAGCAAAATCTTCACTTTTTGTTCCAGCACGATAGAACGCAGTGATTTTGATATCAAACTTATGTAATATTATCATAAGGGTTAAGTAACGGGTTTTCGGAACCTATCGCTTCGTGGATGAGGAACATTGGGACTACTATGCAATTATAGTTATTTCCGTTATATATATATATACACACACATATATTTGTATATATATATGATATGTACATGATATATATATATATATATATATATATATATATATATATATATATATATATATATATATATATATATATAAATATATTGTTTTTTTGTTTTATATTTTTTATTAATCTTATTTTTTTATTAATCAGTGTCTTTCTCGTTCTGCTAGACGTCAGGTTTTTGCTGTTTTGCTGTGTGTTTTAAAGGGAACAAAGCTGTTTTTATACCATTCAATATGCCCTTCCCAATAGTTCGTGTTTTACCATTATATCTACACTACTACTGTCGGCAACAATACTTCACCACAACTTACCTTAAGTTCCACACTTACCTTGTCTTATTTTCGTCTTTTCCTCTGTGACTAATTCACCTTAGCTTTATTTTCTTTTTCGTGTTTTCCCACTCTTTTTTCGCGTTTTCCTGTCGTTTATTTCTAATGTGCTCATTTTTATGTTTTATCTTAAATGCATTATACACTTTATCACAAATAAAAGTAATATGGGCAAAACCTTACCACAAGCGCGGGAAGCCAGCAGGTGTGTTGTTCTGCATATGGGTATTGTTCGAAAGAGTTTTCTAAGCAAACGTATAATGTGGAAGCTGTTTTTACACTGGCTTTCTGGTCAATGACTTATGTTTTTTTTTTTTTTTTTTTGTGTGAATACAGTGCCAAATTAACATGTATAACTCTACGGAGTAAATGATAACTCATAACACTACATACTTCACTGTGTTCATTATAATTCTTACTATATTGTAGTTATGGATTTTGAAATTAGAATATCATTGCACAAACGAAAGTCCTGTTTGAATAAGACTGTGCACCAATTTTTTTCTTCATGAAGGGCATAGAAAACGAAGAAACCTAGGTCTGCCTTGTGTGTGCAGAAAAAGAAATGAGATTGCCTATTGACAATTTACCAGTTCCCTATGGTAAGATTTACTGTATGTAGAAGAAAACCGTAACTGTGCATTAACTGTCTTATTGGCATAACTTCAGGTACTGACGACTCTCCGTAACTTTGACTTCACTCGACTGCAATAGACAAAACTCAAGATGTCAATCACGGTAAGTAAAAAAGAAATGAGATTGCCTATTGACAATTTACCAGTTCCCTATGGTAAGATTTACTGTATGTAGAAGAAAACCGTAACTGTGCATTAACTGTCTTATTGGCATAACTTCAGGTACTGACGACTCTCCGTAACTTTGACTTCACTCGACTGCAATAGACAAAAACTCAAGATGTCAATCACGGTAAGTAAGAATTCGTGTCATGCAGTCGAACCTTTTTAAAGTACAATTGAAATATTTGAATATATTTATGTATATATATATTTTTTCTTAAAGTCCCAACCAAAAAAATGTAAACACAATGAAGCCGTGTCAAGACGTTTTCGCCGAGAAAAAAGAGGAAAAAAAACACGGTTATTATAATATTTTCATTTTCTTGAGGGTCAAAATCCCAGGTCAACAACCCTTAACAGAATGACATTAACATACGATTTTGACCATTGGCAGGTGTGTGGCGCAAACGTTACCAGGAAAACAGCAATCATCATTACTGTGGTTGGGTCGGTGGGGACAGCAGTCAGTTGCTTATTGATAATTATAGGTTTTGTTATAGGCTGCGATGTTTACTTCAACGGTTATTATGAGTATACTGACTGCTCGGTTATGTCATTTATGGTCATCACAGGAGGAGTTCTTCTGTCTGTTGCAGGTATTGTTAATTTCATATTGCGCATTTTCGTATGTTGCTGATATTTTTTTCGTCTTTGTTTTAGTCATTTGTGTTGTTTTAGTTGTAAAGTTATTATTATTTTTAATTATTATTATCATCTTATTATTCTCATTATTATTATCATCAACAGTTCTTATTCTGTTGTATTTGTCATAGGTTTGAATTGTATCGGTTATCAAGAGTTGTAAGGAATTCTGAAAAAGAATGATTTTTTCTTTTTAATTGATCATCTGTATTTCGATGTACAGTGATGATGATGTCACTATTCAAGATGACATGTTTTGTCATATAATTATTATAATTTCTATTATGGACATGGTCTCCATAATGCGAATGGCCATTACTAAATCCAATTAAATCATGAACTTTTGCAATTATATCGAAACGCTTGTGGCAAAAAAAAAAAAAAAATCTTGGTTTGGGATTACCAACATTGTTTCGGTCTGTCCACATGGGCTTATCTCTATCATGTGATATGTAAATTTGTTATCAAATATGAATTTAGGCGTAATATTCAAAGAAAATGTGATAAAAGGAGGATATCACTCAAAACTATAAACAACACACACACACACACACACACACACACACACCGTATTTATTCATATCTATGTGTGTGTGTGTGTCTGTCTGCATTGTAATGATAACCACAGTTCTCACTTTTGTATAACATTGTATAACGATCAGTACTAACGAACGACTTTTACTTATCTCAAAATCGCTGCGTCAAGTTTCAGTTTTAATCTTTTATATTTTTATATCTACAAACTACAGTCAAAACCCAATTGCCAGTAACCTCTAATTTGCTCTCTTCTCCCTAGTGACTGTTGTGATATGTGGATGTATAATGCTTTATCGCATACGGAGATTTCCAATGACAATGCCCTCGACGTTTGAAGCACCCATGAATTATGGGCAGCCCTACCCACAACAGGGCGTAGGACAGCCCTACCCACAGCAGGGCGTAGGACAACTATACCCACAGCAGGGAACAGGTCAGCCTTACTTACAACAGGGAGCAGGTCAGTTTTACTCAGAACAAGGAACAAGTCAGCCTTACCAAAAGCAGGGAGTAGCACCAACATACCCACAGCAGGCAGGAGTTTCACCATATCCACAGCAGGCAGGAGCACCAACATACCCACAGCAGGCAGGAGCACCAACATACCCACAGCAGGCAGGAGCACCAACATTCCCACAGCAGGCAGGGGTTTCACCATACCTACAGCAGGCAACAGCTCCATCATACCCACATCAGACAACAGGTCTACCACACGAACAGGGGCCAGACCAGCCCTATACTCAAAAGAGTGCATATTAAGAGCCTAAGCAACTGAGAATACATTAAGAGTACTCGCTGGATAACACCAGTCATATCTACAACGCAGATCCGCCGAAGCTGGCAGCCGATATTACATGCATGTAGTAGTTGCAGAAAAAGAAATTCTGTGCATGTATGCAATGAAGCATGATTCCCTGACAATTCTGTGTAAAATCAATCTTTCCAGTATTATTTTCTCCGGCATATGATTCAAGTTAATTTTCCAGTGTGATAGTTATATGTCGAGTTTGTAATTAATATACTCAAATCTGTAGCACCTGGTAAAGGCAAGTTACGCGAGTATGTATAAATGGAATGACTTTCCCTTTCAAATATGTAATAATATAAATAGCAATGAGATGTTTCATTAAGGACTAATTACTTTTTCATAGTATTGGATGTTGCTAACTTGTAGAATAATTTACAACTACATGAAGCAACCTCCTTTTCAGAGAAAAAATATTTTATTTTATAATGATTAGATATCACTCAACGTATGAAAGAATTGAGGAAACTGTATAATCAAAATATAGTACTATGCAGTGTAATGTAATTTACCAATGTATAAATAAAATTTCTTGAACTGAATTTTTTCCTTTTTTGCCCTTGATAAGTGAGTGAGTGAGTGAGTGAGTGTGTGTCTGTGTGTGTATACATGCACGCACACATACATATATGCATATATGTATATATATACTTAGTATATATATATATACAGTATATATATACATACACACACACATACACACACATATGTATATATATGTGTGTGTGTGTTTAGAAAAGGTATGAATGAGAATGGATATCTTCACAATCCAAGAGATGTATTTGACCGGTTTCGATTATATCTTCGTCAGAAATACATGTATTTCTGACGAAGATATACTCGAAACTGGTCAAATACATATGTTGTATTGTGAAGATTTTCATTCTCATTCATACCTTTTTTACATTTGGCAACATGAATCCGGTCATATATATATATATATATATATATATATATATATATATATATATATATATATATATATATATATATATACACACACACACACACATACACACACATTCACACATACCAAAAGTTATATTTAGATTCTTTTCAGGATATCACGTTCGAGTCATAGCAATAGGTTATACTTTCCCCTTATGATCATCTATAAACACACACGAAAAGTAGTGAAATGCGTCTGTTAAAAGTATCATTTATTACATAAAATCTATAAAAGATACGAACGTGATAAAATGGGGAAAAACGTAAGGAACATGAAATGCTATACCGATAGATTACCAGTTACCTATTACTTACTAATGTATATATATGTATATATATATGTATATATATATGTATATACATATATATATTTATTTGTATATATGTATATGTACATATATATATATATATATATATATATATATATATATATATATATATATATATATATATATATATATATATATATATATATATTTTTTTTTTTTTTTTTTTTTTTTTTTTTTTTCTTTTTTTTTCTTTTTTTTTCTTTTACCGTACCATTCGATCAGTCAACAACAGACCTCTAATAATATGCCTGCTTATCACATACCTCTTCTAAGTGCACTTTCCTGTGCACTCCACCCTGTAATGTTGGGGTAAATAACCAAAACTTGTATTCCAGAAAGAAAAGAAAACGAACAACCATATTACTATAGACTGTTTTTTTTTTTTATTGAATTTACGGAAGGGAGCCCGTTGGCAACAGTGACGGGGTTTGCAAAGGTCGA